AAGAAGAAGAAGAAGAAGAATTAACATTTATTCCATGCAATCAATTGAAATTTGTAGACAGATAACAATCCTTCTGTGTGTGTGTATGTTCACGTTTCTTTGAGAAATGTTGATACAGGAACATATATTCTTTTATATTTTCCAGAACTTTTGTTATGACTTAAATAATTATTACTCACAGTGGTTAAATTGCGATTGTGAAAGAGGTAGAACTCCCATTTGTGATCCAGATCAGGAATGCTAATAATCTAAATTCTTAAGTGGTGAAACTCTGTTCTGGATCATTCCAGCTCAACCTAACCCCTGATTATTCACTGATCTGTGGCAGGAATGTAATACAATTTTTAGAGGATATTCCACACATTTATAGTGACAGATCTTTGAGATTCCACTCCACCCACCCCCTCATAGATAATGCTTTACTGTATGTGACACTTCTGCTATTTTTCTTGCTGATTAGCTTGTTAAAATACTTTTTTGTTTATGATTTGAAAACTGTAAAAATGTTTCTTGAGTTCAAACACCCTACCTTAGGACACAGATTATAACTATTGTATTTGAATGCATCATCATTCTTAAATTCAGACTTTGGAAGTTATTTGTGAAGCAAAATTTATCAGAATTGGATTCCATTTTCTTTATTTCATTTTCAGATTTAAAAAATTGGAATCCAATTTGTAAAAAAGAATAAAAATGACACGTAATTCAAATTATCATAAAATGGTATTCCAAGCAACAGCTCTGAGATTCTAAACATAATGTAAGTATAAGAATACCGTTTCTATCCTGCTTGAGAGAAGTAGATAATGAGACAATCGTCTAAGTGCTTATCTTCAAGGGATGTAGGTAAAACATTCATCACCATGCTAATTCTTGAGAGAAGTAGATGACGAGACATTTATCTCTATCTTTATCCCCAAGAGATTTAGGGTATGAGTTCATGAACTCTCCTGGCACAAGATCCCCAAAATATTTCACATTCTGACTGAGGCTCCTACTCAATGAATCTATAGATACTTGAGTATCTTAACAATATGTAGTATATTGTGTAGTTGTTATGGCCCCCTGACATTTTCCTGTGTCCCCCAGTTTAGGAACATCTAATGTAGAAGTTGATACATTCATTTCCATGCTTGAGAGAGATGTTGATGGTTAGAAATTCACCTACATATTTATCCTTTAGAGAGGTGGGTAGTGGGACACATATTTACATGTTTATCCTTGAGAGATATGCACAGTGATAACATTCACCTGTATGTTTATCCTTGAGAAATGTAGATAGTGGTAACATTCAACTCCAAGCTTATCCTTGAAAGATGTATATGGTGGTACATTTATCTATTTGAGAGGTGTAGATAGTTGGACATTCATTGACACATTTATCCTTGAGAGATGTGGGCAATTGTAACATTCATCCATTGGAAAGATGAAGATAGTGGGAAATTCATCTACATGTTTATCCTGGAAATATGTGGACAGTGGTAACATTAGTCTATTTGAGAGGTGTGGATGTGATGACATTCATATTAATGTATATTCTTGAACCACATACATCTTGGAAATACTCATTCTGCATTTACAATTTACTGCACCAGTGCATCAGATATCAATAAAGTGAAATATATTTTAAAGATGTGTGTAAATCTTATTGTTAGAGGGCCTGTAGTAAATTAAAAGTCAAGCCATTGAACAGCTCTTAAGTTGTAATGTTTTATTTAACAGTTTTTAATTGAACTGGCTTTGCAAGTGCTTATCAAAGTTTATTTGCATATTTGACTGACTCAAGAAAATACAAATTATTATCATATTCACATTAAGTTTGTTTACTACTTGAACATTCTTTCTAGAAATGTTTAAGTTCCATAAACTAAAGATTTATATACTGTTTTGGAATTCCATGGAACAATTTTTTTATGGAAAAAAGTTTTCTCTCTCTCTCTCTCTC